TAGTATTCAAAAACAATGTAATAATATTCTATTTTGTATCTTTTCTATTTGCAGCATTTCTAACACTTCATGTACATTTGTTTATTTTTAAGGCTGATGAAATACTTTGACTTTTTTATATAATATAAATCAACCACTGAGACCTGCAAGTTGACAGACATGACATTCTAACAAAGATAGCCACAGCATTCAGCATTTTCCAGTTGTGATTCTCTCACAGGTGAAAGATCAGCACACTCCACTCCTGTTCTGATAGATAAAAGCAAGAAAAAGCCCTAGATGAGAAAAAGAGGCAATGTGAACTTCACTTTCTTTCCTTCACTAACTCATCCTTCTCTTCAAGATAGTATTTAACTCTGTATCACTTTTTCAGTTCTTTTAATTTCTGAAGGCTTTAATCCTGCTGCACACTGAGGTTTCTGAACTACTGCATCTTATCACCTCCAAATACTGAAATAAGTCATTAACAGAAGTATTATCCAATCTCCCTAAGATAAAAAAAATATAGGCAAGAGTGAAAATTCACTGATTCTATGACAAAGGCTCACTAGAACAAGAAAAACTGAATAGCCACATTATTAAAATATTATAAATGCAAGCTCACACATGGTGGACATCGCTCCTTCATCTCACTGAAAGCTCATATCTTAGAAATGTGGTGTTCCACATCAATGAACCTCTGTGTGAGACTCAATGGCAGTTTTGTGATGCAGACAAATAGCTATTTGAAACTGGTTTGAGACAGCCAATGTTTTTAACCTGAGGCAATCTTGTATTGTAGTGATAGAAGTAAGGCTATTAATGAACCCAACAATATTTAACTATTCGTGTTGGGCCTCCCATTGGTCAAATTTCACAAGTCTAACACTGTACTGCTCAGGGCAAGAAAATGAAATAGGAACAATTTTCAACAGGAAAAAGACTATAGTTCTTCCTATTTAGAAGGCAAAATCAGGGCAAATTTTAGAAGGAGCCTCAAATATGTATTTTCATCTTAGCCTTTCCTGTCTTTGAAAAAAAATCCAGATTCTTTGCTGTTCTCTACAGTACAATGAGTAGAAAATGATAAAATTAAATGCTAGTCTTTATAATCCAGATGTGTCTAACTGACTTCTAGCTCAAGATTCAGTGAGAACAAAGACGCGGTCAATACTTGCAATAGCAAATTCAGGCTCAACTTCTGGCTTAGAGGAAAAGCAGAAATGGAGGTATTTCCATCAATGCAGGCAAGTGAAAACTTCAGTCATCTGAAAACTTACAGAGCACAGTTACATCACATGCCTGCATCTGCATTAAGAAAAGAAGTGCAAATGATACTAAGTGTACTGTACAGAAATTCACCTTTTCTTGGCAGTTACAGTATGGATTATAACTCTAAAGTGTAACTCCTATTCTCTCTCTTTCAGCACCAATTCTTAACAGTACATTTACTACATGGATTATAACTCTAAAGTGTAACTCAACTCCTATTCTCTCTCTTTCAGCACCAATTCTTAACAGTACATTTACTAGAGCACAATGGTCATGGAAGTCTGTAAGGAGATAGCAGTCAGAGGAAAAAAACAATAACAAACAGATAGGCAGCAGAGTCTGTTTTAGTTCAGTACCTGCTTGGCTGCCTTTCTGTCCTTGTACTGCAACCATGCAAACATCTGAAAGAGGAGCCAGAACTGGCATACTCAATGCCACTGCAACCACTTCTTAACAGAGTGACTTCAAGGTCTCTTCAGATGCTCAGAAACTGCAATCCTTCCTCCAAACCCGCAGGATGGAGCTGTGGCAGCACTAAAGTCACCATGGAAAGTCCAGCTGCACTTCACTGTCAGTACCACAAGCCCCTTTCACAGCTAATTTCTTCTTAACCATGTTTCTCTCTAAAAAGTCTATTTTACACCTGATACTGAAACTGAAGGGCTAGTTTTCACCTTTCAACTCTCAACAGTAATTTGAGAGTTGAAAGTAGGAATAGCTGGTGCTATTATTCCTACTTAACAAATGGAGAGCAGGTCAAGAAAGAAGGCACAAGTCTAAAACCAACTACACAAAATCAATTACTTTTCAGTCTTGTGGACAAAGCTTTAGACCTCTAGCTATTTGAAATTCCAACTAGAAACTGACATCTTTAATAGTGTTGTTTCAGACACCAGGACAGTAACGCATTTCAATTTGTTTCCTGTGTCTATTACCCTTGTGTGCTTGTGAGTGCCAGCTAAGTTTAGCAACTAATTAGGCTGGAGTCACAATACCATTAGAGGTCTGGATCAGTAATTCACCAAGCAGGAAACAAAACATCTCTTGTTGAAATAACTGTAGCTTTAATTGAAGGATTTTTTAAAAAAGATTTTAAGGGAAAGAAGTAATCCAGTAGCCATACAGATCTCATTGTGTGCAATCATTTTAGAAGCCACAAAATAGGTTGCACTCAAATCAAGCAAAAGCTCTGGCTGACATAACTATTTTAAATCAGCCAAAGTTAGACGCTGGAGTAACAGCTATCAAAGATCATCCTGAACATAATCAGTAGTTACAAAAACACTTTTTTTCTCTTTATATTGAAATCAGACAGTTTCAATACAAACATTACTTGCCATTGTTCTAAACAAAGCAGACCAAGCAGCCACAAATCTCCATCAAAGAAGAACCAAGTCAGGTCATCACCAAGGAAGGAGCAAGCAGTAATACAAGACACTTGACACCCCTGTATAAAGGGCAGCTGATTGTAATCAAAGAACTTCATAACACTGAGACAGCACAATGAGCCAGGAGATGCATACAAAGCACTACTATTGCAATAGCAAAAGGTTATAATAGGGGTAAGGCGATACACAAAAGTCTAAATACTTTTGGAAAAGAGAAGAACTCGAAGTATTAACACCAAGAAGGAAATGGCCAACTTGGAAAGATTACAGTATTACAAAACCCTTGAAACAAGTACATAAGCATTAACCTACTTGAGGTCTTGGAATCTGCAAAAGTAAAGACGAGCAGAGATCATCATGGAATCCTTGGCAGAAGTTGGTCTGGTACTAAAGCACTTAAAAATTCAACCAAACTGTACACATGGTAAAAGGTAAAGTTTTGAAAGTTCCACAAATAGTCTGAATCTCATAGATGGCTCACCAAATGCACACCAAAAACCAGGAGCAAAACAATATATTTCTGCCTTAATGCAGAGGAAAGCCCTTGCTTTTTTGCCTTGTGTATTGCTCTAGGGTGGCCAATAACAGGACGCTGTCATAGCCCTGCTCTCCCTGCTTTGGAAGGCTTGCCAAGTTGCTAGATGAAGAGATAGCAGCAACATACAGAAATCAGTGCACTCAGCCCACGTCACAAGAGACAAGGCAGAGCAAGTCAACTTCCTTCCAACCAAATGTGTACTTTCATGTATCTTCACTGACCTTTGCAAAAGGAGTAAAAGAGTCAATGTTCAGAGCCACTCCTGACTCAAACAGCTTTCACTGAATGTTTAACTGATTGTGCTGTGCTTGGTATTGGGATTCACTGGGGCTTAGCAGGCCTGTACATGCTGCTGAAAGAGAAGAGTTAAATAACAGCTCTATACACAGATGTGTTTTATCCAAAAGGAAGACAATGGCTTTGTCTATCAGATGGAACTAAAATTTCAGGTCACTTAGTATTATCAGTCTTCCCAAGTTCCTATTTCACTTTGTTCCATCTCCTTGGTCTTTGAACCTCTTTCAGTGTATCTATTTACTTTATGCAGACAAGTTCAGCAACTACTAGGCAAGGAAAAAGGATTGGGGGAAATCAGTTGGCCAAAGGAGCAAATTTCTGTGTCATGTCTCGGAGGCTTGTTAAGGGATGAAGAACATATTTATGTAAAATCCTTAGTACGGCTTCAGAAGCACAACAAAAAGAAAGAAACAAAAACCAGTCACCTTTGGGATCTCATTTTCCCCAACCACATCTGAATATAAAGGCTTCTACAGTTGCCAAGTTTACAGGGAATGCAGGCCACCTCTTAACAATCCTTTTCCAGAAAGAAAGACTCCCCAAAAACCATCATGGGGATGAGGAGGAGAGTGAGCACAAAACCACTAGAACTCTGCTGGCATATGTAGATACATTAATAAAGCATAGCAACAATTGAATTTTTGCCTCTTTAACCTTCAAAGACTGCATTATTTCATATTCTATTCTACCACCCTTCCTGCCTTATCATTCTCTTTTAACATGTGGTACTTCACACTTCCAAGGTTCATTTCTCCTCCTCCTCCTTTCCACCACCCCCATCAAGAAACAGAGAACTACAAACATGACTATGAAGGCTATAACTCTGAAAAGCAGAAGATATTTGTTTCAGACTATAAAGAACCAGATTTTTTTAAATATACCTTGAATTAATGTGTTGCTAATTAAAGCATTTGAATTATCTAAGAATACATGCCAGAAAAAATAGTGTATTAAGAAAAAGGATATTAAGCAAGCAAGTGCTCCTGTAGCAGGCAATGAGATGGTTGACTTGGGAGGCTAATGAATTAGTATAAACAATTTAAATCTAATTTAATTTAACAATGTAGAGCATTTGTGCATTGCAAAGCAACAGACAGTAATCTGTTTCTTCATTAAATCAAAGATAAAATTGCTGATTACCCTTCCCTGAATTATTTTATTGAAGAGGATAGCAAACAAATTTTATATTTAGTCATAAAAGTTCATGGCTAGTCCCCAGACAAGCCAATGTAACCAGTGAAGGGTACCAGTGAACATAACATAGGCCAGCTGTGGTTTAGTGTAACATTATTCAGCCAAAATAGATTCTCACATTTTAACAGCTAGTGAACAAATGTTTATGCCAAAAATTAGTATGGCATTTTAAGTTTACTTTTCATTTTCACAAAACATATCTAAACAGCACCATTTACTACTCACAATCTTTATAAGTTCTAAAATTATATACTGAGAATGCTGAGCATTTGGTATTGTCAGAGGTACTATGAACCTCCCCCTCTATTTTACAGATAAATTTATGAACTTGCCTCAAAAGTGTTACCGGTGATATCAAATTCTGGTGGAACAAAGGCACCTTCTGGATCGTCTTTGAAAACAAAAGGAAACATGACAGATTAGAAATTAGTAGTCTTGTTTACAAAAAACACAAACAACTTGATGATACAAATGTACACATACACTCCTATCTGATACAAAAGAAACTTTGTATGGCAGTATTTTGGTTCACTCCAATCCGCTGTACAAAGAACTCGTTATCCATGTTTACAGTGCTGGAAGTAAAATAAGTGCTGTTTTCAAGCTTTCTCAAGGTATTATAACTTCCCTACTAAGAAACAAAACAGATTAAACACCCACAAAGAAATACATTTAACACGTCTAATCACTCCTTGCCTTCAGGCATTTATGTTTGGACCCAGTTATCACCAAAGCTGGTGTGGCTCAGGTGTGGCTTAGAGGTTTGATTTGATTAACTGGACACTTCTACTCACTATTTTCCATTACAGACCTGGGTGATAAGGGTTCAAGCAGCAAAGCCGGGTCTGAACAGCTAATTGCTTCTTCATCTACAGGCCATCGTAGAACTCTGACCTTTCTGCTTTGTTTTACTTATGATAAAAGCGTAGAGGAAGTAAATTGCCCATGCATGTGCTGCTGAGCAGAGAACTGAGCTACTGCAGCAGCCAGTTCTGAGTGCAGAGGTGGAAAGAAGAACAGACTTTCTTATGAGAGTCTGGTGCTGTTTCTGCATCCAAGCAGGTACACGGTACCACACCACACTTACGTCACATGAACCCTGTAAAGAACATCAAGGAATTCAACAGGAGCACAACTAAAAAGCCTACTCTTCACATACATATCCAACTCACCTAATCTATCCTTCTGGGAAGTCAGGATGATTGAGATGATTTACATGCAAAAAGCGTGTTTCCTTTCTCAACAAGAAGAAAAAAATAGTATGTTCAGAGGCACAGCATAATCATCATAACTTTAGCTTTAATTCTAAATCATCATAACTTTAGCTTTTGTGCCTGTACTTTAGAAGTGAAATGTAAAGTTTTTATTAAACCCAGTTATATAGCAGAGACTACTAGAGGACTTTTTTTACATTCGTACATTGCAGCTAGGTGGCATGGCTGACTAGAAACAGTAACTGATTTATAGCTCCTTAGGATATTCCCAAATGTACTTTCCCACTGAAAAAGAGGGTTATGCAACCAATTTTGCGTTTCTTACCCAACACCACATTTTTTCCTGATTTTGGGGGTGGGCAGAGGAGGCAGAATGGGAAGTAATGGACAGGTGTTTTGTTCTCCCCTCTCCCCCACCTGCAGACTACTACTACCCCTTTTTATCTCCCCACTACCTTTTCCCTTTCTTTCCACAGAACACTTTAAAGGCTGTGCTTAACTATGTTAATACTTAACTGCATTTAACTTATCACTGGTACAGCTCAGTGTATTCTTTTAATATAATGTTTACAATGGGAATGTGTGTGATCTGAAGAGTCTAGAAGGTATCAGAGCCCTTGGCAGAACATCCTATTGAATGGTTGTCACTTTAGCACCACAGAACTTGCAGGAAGCAGAACTTGCTGCTAAAGCAGAGATGACAGGCTGTTCACTTTCCCTCGCTGGAAAGCAAATCCAGAGGTTATAATTATCTTCTGGAAGAATAAATCCATAAGCAACAACTGCAGGGAAGCAAAAAGGACAACATCCTCAAGTGCCTACAACAACCTATCTTTTAACCAAACTGTAACAAAATCTGAGAGAAAGAGCCAAACACACAGTGTGAGAGAAATAGAACACAGGAGTCACTTTTCTGCATTCCTATGGAAAACATTCCTTTCTTTAAAGAGAACTAATGAAAAGTCTTTTCCTTAGAGACTAACATGATTTCAGGGAACTAAATCTGTACATTTGCTTTGCACAGGAATTTGTTATCCCACATTTTAAGTACATTAATACAGCATTCCTGGATCAATTGTTTGCCAGCTATTCAATTAGACTAAAACATTTAAGAAGAAATTGATTTTTCATTTCCCCACCTACAAGCAAAGATCTCAGCTGAGGGGCATTTTTCATCCACTAGATTTATGCTTTTCAAGAAGTCTTTCATATACCCTTGGCTTATACAAAGCCAGCTTCTTTTTCTTTTTTAATTTCAAGCTCCTTAAAATAAATTGATTCCACATTACCCTATTAATATGAAACTAAAAGTTGTCTCATGTCTATTTAGGGAATTTAATAAAAAAGTCACAACAATTATGAAGGTATATTTTCATCTTTTTAAATTATATTTTATGATGTTCTATTTATATGAAAGACTGTCTTTAATTCTAAAGAGGGAAAAAATCTTCACTTGTTGCAATGTTACCTTACCTCATTTTTATTCCAGTATTTTTTCTAAATACTGTGATCTAGATTTTGCGTGAAAGAATAAACATCCTGACAGAGATTTAAAAATAAATTAGGCTAAAGAAATCACAACAAAATTTTGACTGGTGTGTATCTGGACTAGAATAGTTCTCCTAGTTATGAACCAACATAATTTTAAAAGTACCATAGAGTAAGAGCTTGGTTGGTTTTCTTTACTTTTCTTCTGTAAAATCATTAAGAGACTGAAGACTTATCTTGAGATGCATCACTCGAGAAAGGAACAGCAACCATAACATGCTTTTTTGTCTAAGATGAAACAAGAACTTTTTAAAGTCAAGCATCTCCCTGTTCATCTGCCATGATACACTGAACATCTTCCATGCTACTACACAGTAGTTTTTAATTTTAATATGTTAATTTCTCAATCAGTCTCAATACTTGACAAGTCTGAAAATCATTACTTAAAAAAGTAATAATTTTTTATTTAAGAGAGAGCTTTAAAAAAAACAAGGCCTTTATTTGAGAGAACTTTCCTTTTTAGTAGCAAACATGCAATAGAATTGCTCCAATTTTATGGCCACAATCAGCAAGATCCACTGAATATCAGACTTCTCTTGAAATAGAACATACCACGAAATCACAAGATCTGTAAGAGGTGAAGGACATGCTTTACAAAGGATGAAACTTGCACGCACAGGTACACAATTTGTGTGTTTAAAATGGATATAAAGAAGACTTATCACCTGGATAAGTCTTAAAATAATTAGGAGGAATTTTCTAAGCAAATTCAGAACAGCCTTTGTTCATCAAGTACAAAACGGAACACATATTTTCACATGAAAATATACACACCCCTTCCCAAATAAGTTTTATTTTATCTTTATTTTAATTGCAAATCTTAAAAATAGAATGCAATGTTTTACTGCAGTTTCTCACCAGGAGTTTCCACAGTTCTAAAACAAACAGCCTGGAAACATAAATACTCACCACTGAGCTGTTCCATGAAGCATACATTGCCATTGGTGTTAAAAGCCAAAGTGTCAGGAGTGATGCAGAGTGTCTGGAAGATTGCAGAATGGGCAATGCTCTTCAAAGAATGGCAACACTCCAGGCAAATTGCCCAAATATCTTGCTCAGTAAGACAGCTATCCCGCAGTGACAAAATATCAGCAAGGGACACATTCTCCTGCCAAGATATGAATTAATAAATTACCCTGGATTTCATGACACTACTTTCTCTATCATAGATTACATTTGACACAATTGGCTACAAGTAATGTTTCCAGCAAGTTCTCAGACTTTCTAGGACACTGATTAACACCCCAAGAAACACCAAGTGCATGACTTTGCTCTTAACACAGAGATGTTTTTAGAAGCACAGTTAACCTGAACAAAGATATCACAGTACGCCAACATTAAAAAAAAAATACTATGGGAGATATGCATCTTACATAAACACTGCATCAAAGGAAACAGGCCACTTGGAGGTAAAAGCAGAGAGACTAAATGAAAACATTTTGTTTCATCCATGCCTTTCAAGCTTTCCCAGGTGTCTTTTTATATAAACTACTTAAGAATTCTTTTCACAGCACTTCTCCCTACCATTTGTGATCTGAAAAAAGTACCTTTTAGATTAGCCTGTCTTAAGAATGATGCTGTTGTGAAGCTTAGTGGTGTAGACCATTTAATAAACTTTGAAAAGCCAAACATGCCATAGGAGAAGTGTTTTTATACTCGGACTTAAAACCAAATACTTGGGTTGTCCCAGGCCTCCCCATTACATCCAGAGCTTTCAGTGATCAAAACAGCTCATGGACTTAAGTTTTTAAGTTGCTGTCCTAAACTTTAGTCAACTTGTATCGATCCTATTATCACAGTAAGGCTATGAGTCCATTCACAAACAAATGTGCTTCTAATGTGGCTTTCCTAGTCAAGATGTTCAGAAACATTGCTTGGCTCAAAGCAACCAGCCTCTCTATGGATATTTTTGGAAAACAAGCCCAATACATTATCAACAGCTAGAGAAGTAAAGTCTTCACAAACTTAAAGGAATGAGGAAAAAAAACCCCAAACAAATAAAACATCAATTGCATCTCTACGGGCAAATAAGGTAACAAAAATGAAAGGTAATCTACAGAAGTTACTATGTATCAGAGCTATAATTACTATTAATTACACAGTGATATTAAATACACCCTGAATGGAAGACATAGATACACATTGCTTAGCATAGAGAAAAAATAAAGCATGTCATAATCAGCAAAAGAGGATGTGAAGTATCTTACAGTTCAGCAAACTGCTGTGGTTTAAACTTTTAATCCCTTGGAGATCAGTTATAAATTTCTTTACCTACTCCAGCACTGGAGAATATCAATGATATCTGAATTACCATATACAGAAGGGGTTAGCAGTTTATTAACACGTCTTTCAGAGAATTAAGCATTGCTTTCATAATATCTTTCAAACAAGAACCAAACTTCAGTCCAAAAGTGTATTGTGCTTTTTAGTCTAAAGTATAATGCTTAATAAATAAATATGAGGTAAGAAATAAAGCACACTCACTGCAATTTGGCAAACTGAACTTCTCTTCTCAATGGTCTTATTTTTCATAGACATGGCCTAGACGTGGATTGATTTACTAATGGCAGCATTACCACAGTGCCTTCTAGCACTAATCATGGACCCTGATCTCATCAAATTCAGTCCTACATAATAATGAACAGCAAAAGATCTCAGCACAAAATCTTATTTTTTCTGTGCTATGCTCAGTACAATCGTGTAATGCTGCCATCAGAGTGTGAGGGTGGATAAGGAGGCTTTGCAAATTTCCATAGGGAAGCTGTTCCAAGCACGAAGAGCAGCACAGAGGTTGCTGTATCTGCAAACAAAAACACATGGCAAGCTCTCTTACAAACATTAGGCTTTGAAACTGACCAAACTGAGTGGTGGGATAAGGACAGGCTTGGAAAGAGGAGACCAACTTCTTAATCTATGGCCAGCAAAAAGAGTTAAAAAAATAGAAACTCTGTGATCGAAAGAATGAATGAGCAATTATTTTAACTCTCCTAGAATCCTCCAGCTAGGTCACATGATGGCATTTGCCACAATACAGAAAAAAAATAATGATACACTAATCAAGGCGCAAAACTATGAATTTCATCTCTACATATGGACGTAAGAGGCTCAATTTAGAGTGTACATGAAAAAAATTAAACCTGCAATCTTTAAGACAGCCTCAGCATCACATTCCAGTCACAATAAAGAGAAGTTTTGAGTTAAGCTTTGAGGCTAAACTCCAATGCAGATAATAATTATCAGCAATGATAGCTACAGCACAAACCTACAAAACATTTTTGTCTTGTGGTTAAAAGGTAATGATCTAATGTCAGATAAGCTTAGTTTATCTTCCTTCCCAGGGATGAGAAAGCTATGTCATACAGAAAAATTTAAAAAAAAAGGAAAAATTAAAAAAAAGTCCTATGAATGTTCCACGGCTTCCATCAGCAGTGGATGGCTAGGTGAAGATAAAACTAACATTAAAAAAAGATAAAATACCACCACCACCACATTGCAGGCCTTTCTATTTCTGCTGCTCCAGGGCAGCAAGTTACTTTCTTCACAGAAACCACTAATTTCCCAAATGATCACTCTTCCTTGACCTCAGTTACTAAAGATGCTGTCGCAGCTAATCAAGGCCTTTGTAGAGAATGAAGCATTGAAAACACTGAGACTTGCATTTGACTAGCTTGTACCCCCAAAGCAACACAGACCAAAAGTTACCAAGTGGAAAAAAACATCCTTTTAACACTCTAACACAGGAGGTTCTGGCAAACTGAAACTTTTGTTGAGCAACTGCTTCAGTACTTTGGATCACTGGAAGCTGCTTCTTTCAAATGGGGTAAATATCAGAGATGTTCATGCCTCCTTTTTGTCACTTTCAGCAAAAGACACTTGTGTCTGGGTTGAATATAAAAGTGTCTGGTTTTAACACTAAGAGCTACAAAAAGCAAACCAATCAGGCAACCATGCTTAACTGCTCACTTTAGTTTTCAGCTTTCCCTTATATTTTCTTCAGCAAGTACAAAACTCTTCAGTAGCCTATAATGAAGGAGAGATAATTAAGAGAGAGTAGGAATAAAAAAATTAATTTGCCACAGACCATTTCTTAAAAATTTTGACATCAAATATTAAAGAGTATGAAATTAACAAGGTTCTAGCAAAGAGAGGGAATCAAAATACACCCTCATCCTTAGCATTTTCTAGTTTTCAGCTCAGGCAGATTCCTGCTTCACATATTGGCAAAAAAACCACCTGCATCAGACACCAACATCATTCTTTATACTTGGTACAATGACAAGAAAAGCAGACTCACTAAATGACTAAGCAGCTCAGAGTTCAGTACAACAGCACTCACAGCCTTCTGACACCTTTTTGCCACAATAATCCACACAAACTTCAAAACAATCTATTCCAGAACCACAGAAAATGTGGCAAATGCCATCCATTACATTGATCACATCTGAAGAAAAACTCTGGGTTGCCTTAGGAAGCTCTCTGAATACTCTTCAAAGCAGTTATTTTTTATCAGCTTATCTAATCACCAGGTGATAGGTCATGCTCATTCTCCCCCAAAAAATACAGAAACTCCTTAGGTTTCTGTAATAAATAAATAGATGGGACTCATGGGAATCCACAATCAAAGTATACATTGAACACATATGAAAAATGGGCCCCGTTCTTTCTTGTACAGAAGAATTGACCCTTTGCCTTCTCCCTTCCAAGAAAATACTGTAAGTATTTAAGCCAATGTGTAAAAAATAAGGCCACTACCATCTTCCTCCAAGATTTTACATGGGCCAGTCTGAGAAGGCCTACAGCACTGAGCACTACAGACGGTGGAAGAGCCAAACTGCCAAGTCAATGGGTGACTTAGGAAAAATTAAAGGGGCCTTGCATTTTCAAACTTGCATTTAACTCCTGATTCAGCATAGATTCTTGACATAGCAAGTTAGAAAGTTTGTAAGATTTGGTTTGGTGAATGAGCAGCTCACATACAGTTTACCAAGCCTTTACTTAAAAAAGGAAAGTATCTCCAAATATTTTGCCCCAGCATTCACAAGGGGGTAAGAAACACACTTCATGTGAAGAGATAGAAAGGTGAGCAAGAGCAACACCAATAACAGAGCCAGACAAACGCGATGACAAGAACTGGGTTTAGCTACAGGTTACTTGGCATAACAGCAGAAGAAACAGATTTAACAGTTTGATAGTTTTTGTATTTATTTCCCAGTGTCAAAGGCCTTTTAGCAAGGGGCAGCAATATACGGCTGGACAAAAAAGCGGTTGGCAGCTTCGGGAAATTATTCTGCCCATGTAAATTTCCCTTGATCGGGCGCGACAAGGACACGTACTTGCCGACTGCAGCATTAACCCACGGCTACGACAGCAGTGACGAGACACCCCGCACTCGAGGACCATGACTTTGCTGTTGTGTGGAGGAGGTGCACGGCAATGGGCTAAGCCCAAGTTGGTGGCTGGGACCGCGGGGCAGGAGGCAGCGAGGCGCCGGCGGAGCACACACGGGAAGCGAGCGGCGCTGTGGCCGCGGCCTGGCCGCTCCCGGGGCCCGGGTGCGCCCCCGGCCCGGCCGCCTCCCGCGGGCGGCCCTGAGGCCGCTACACTACAGGTGAGCGCAAGGGCGGCGGCTCCATCCCCGCACCTGCCTCACTCACCTCATCCTCCAGCAGCGTCGGCAGAGGCTCAAAGTCGTAGCAGTTCACTTCCTCCTCCTCCTCCTCATAAAACACGTCCTCTGCAGCGCCAAGAGTCTCCATCCCGCCCGGCGAGGGAGCAGAGGCTTCACCTCCGCAGCCTCCCTGTGCGCTCGGAGCACGGCCCTCGGCCCCCGCCGCGGCTCATCCTCACACCCGCCTGCCGGCTGCCCCCGGCAGCGACCCCCACGGCGCCGCCCGCCCGCTTTAACCCCCTCCCCGCCCCTGCCGGGCCCGGCCCG